GGGCTGTGTGATGTTGAGATAATATTAAATGCAGGTTCTTCAGGGGAAGATTTATTGTCATTGGGAATCATTAGGATTGATTCTCATCCCCAAAGCACTGTGGGTTCAGCCGGGACCTAGCTAAGCAGCAAATCAAAGAACCAAAATCAAAGAGCGTCAGATGGAAAATGTCATTTGGAATATTTATAATGCACCTTCCATAGTTTTTTTTTTCACTTGTTCTTAATTTATATCATCATTCAGCTGTTAATAAATTTTGCATGGCTTCATTGCAGTGTGTGTTGTGTGATAGTCTCTACTACACAGATGCCTTTCTCTCAGGAATTCTTCATCCTTACTGTTTAAGATTCTACAAGTGTTCTCTATTCCATGATATGAGTTTGTATATAAAAAGGTATGTGAATATAACCAGAACTGTGTTTCTTGCCCATTCCTCAATCTCTCCAATTGAATTTGATTATTTTCATCTCATAGATTCAAAATCTTTGGAATTTGCTTGAGTCTCCTCTTTCAGTGGTGCAATGAATTTGTTATACTCAAGACATAAAGTGGGATTTTGAGAAAAGTGCACTAGGCTAACGAGATGGGATCCTATGATACTTGAGAACAGTTTTCCTACAGTAACATAGGGATTGTATGACATTGAGATTTCAAATTGTGAGGGCAGAAAACTGGAGTGTAATTTGAGTAAATGTGTAGGAGTCATTGTATGGTGCAGATTCACAGTGTAGATTTATCACCTGATTCACTATTGTGAGTAGTAGTTCAGGGTTGTTAGCATGTGCACCACAGGACAAGAAATATCATTAGTTGGAAAGTATGCTTGAAATTGAAGTCTATGACCAAGGTATCAGGTGAAAGTTGCCTTAACGGTTGCAATATCACTTTAAATGGGTCAACTTTGCTATCCATGGTCAGGATCTATGCTATAGGACCAATTCTTGAAGAAATTGAAAGTGTTGCATCCGTACTTACCTGGTTGCAAAAATCTGAAGTCATATTGAATTGTATCGCTTAGTACTTCCTTCTTCTAACAATAATTTGCTGTAACTCATGAAATATATGCCAATCAAATACCCAATGATATTTGCACAAGTCATAAGAACCATGAAGACCAGTAAAAGTTTGCGTTCGGGAAGAGATACAAATGAAACAAATAAAGATTCACTAGTGTCTTTTTCATAGTAGACACAAACAGATAAGAAAGATGTAATTTGTCTCACTGCAACTTAACTGTACACTGAAGATGAGCAGATACTTAATTTTACTGGAAACTGTTCCCTAAGCCATTACCTTCTGGACAGGAAATACTTCTAGCATCTTCCTGTGGAACAATTCCGTTGTGATGGCAGAATGAATACTCCTTTGCAGGATTGTTTAGTAACTTATCATGGATACAAAGGTAATGTTCGGTTGTTATTCATATGCTTTGAAACCCAGCCAAGATACAAAACATAAATTTATTGTCCAAGTTGCACCTTCTGTGTTAGCCACATTAGAGTCAGGTGGCTAGAGTCCCATGAATTTTCATATTCTTGTTTGATAATACATTGTCATGATTTTGCTGTATGTATCATGTAGATCCCTTACATTTTCAGTATTACTTTTGAGCAAATATCATATAATTTTGCAGTATAAATCACATGGATCCCTTAGTGGTCAATGTAATTTTCCAACACTTTGATTTGCAGAAAGAAACTATGTTCCTCCATCTGGGAGATGTCTGTGATTTTTCAAATAAGTACGTACACTTTAGAAACAAACAAAGAAACTATACATCCAGCAATGAAAAGGCAAATTAAAAAGAGGAAAACATCTGAACAGCTACCCAATTACAAGATTTGCAGCTTTCCAGAAAAGACACAAAACAACACTCAACAGCATTTCATAAGGAGAAGATAAAGGGAAAATGCAGCAGTACTGCACACCAATGAAAACAGCCAAGAGCATCGATAACATGGACAATGGCAGAGAGCCCAGCATTCTATTTTAACAATGTTGGGAACAGTCTCCCTGAGAGTACATCTTTGTTTTGGAAGTAGACATGCACACAGCTTAGTATCTTCACATCTCAATACATCAGTCTCTATCGCACAGTTATTGTACATCCCCATAATAGAAAAGCCACAAAATAAAATCAACAGCAGGAAGTAAAACAAAAAATTAAGTGTAACATGAAGGTAAATTACATAGTCCTGAATGATCAAAGTGCCATTGAATTTGAAAAATAACTCAAAAATCTTCTTGAAGGCAATGATGCTACTGTGTAATAGAGACGGTGAAGAAATTAGTAAGGGGATATAAATACTTCCTTTGAATGAATGAAAATTAAAACAAAAATACCTGAAATATAGCACAGACAGCATATTGAAAGGATATTGATCTTATAATTCTATGCGGTTTGCCTCATACCAGAGAGAATATATGGTATTTGTCTTTTGAGGTTGACTTATCTCACTGAGTATAATGGTCTCTAGTTGAGTCCATATCGTCACAAAGGGGAGAATTTCATTCTTTTTAGTGCTTGAGTGGTGTTCCATTGAGTAGATGTAGCACAGTTTCTATTAGTTTACTGACAAAAGAAAATACCAACCAAGTACAAACAGACTTTTATTATGTGAAGAGATGTCAGTTCCTGGGCCTATCCTGTGCAGTGGAGGAATGGATAGGAGAAGAGAGGACTGCAAGTGGGAAAGACCAGCAGGGTAGTGGAGACAAAGGTCTTCTACTCCCTCTGACATGGGTGCTGGCATCAGCTCTGCTTGAGCTCTAATAGGACAGGGAATGTTGGCTTTTGTGCATCATCAGCCTGTACATGGAATTTCAGCCTTTGGGGAGTGCCAGATCTCTGACTGAGTTGACGGTGGTGTCCACTCATTTTCTGTAACCACAATAACCATCGTTTTCTTGTGTGCTCCTCTATGGATGGGCATCTATGCTGTTCCCATGTCATTGGTATTGTATATAGTGCTGCTGTTACATAGGAATACCGATTTCCTTCTCACATGCAGATTTCATTTCTTTTGGATATTCCCATCAGTGGGCTAGCTGGGTCATATGGCAGGTACACTTTTACTTTTCTTAGAAATCTCCATGCTGACATCCATAGTGGTCATCCTAGCCTATTCTCGAACCAGTCGGGAATGAGTGTTGGGGACACTGACCATTTCATGCCCTGTGACTGGAACTTTGCCTTGATTGGTGTGCCTTGGTTATCTTTAAGCTGATTGGACAAGATTGGCAGATAAGCAGGGAGCTTGGCGGGGGTGGGGGTCAGCCTAACGGAATTAATGGTCATAACGGTTTTTAACAGAGAAGCGGAACAAAGCAAATCGGAGACTCTGACCCAAGTGTCGGGTAATTTCTTCCTCCGGACAGGAGGACCCCGATAATTGTGCTGTGACTCAGATACAAGAATTCTGGTGCTTTTGTTTGGATTGAAGTCAGCTGGTGAATGCCAGGAAGGTAAGCTGAGCAGATCGCTCAGGGAGCTGCTTCCAGAGGGAATTAGTTTACAACTGAGACTTTTGCTCTGGAAACTGCTATAGCAGGGGGGATGTGCACTTCAACTTCAAACGTTAACGATGATGCAAGTTTGCAGGGTAGTGACCACTAAAGCGCAGGCCTAGTAACCCTTCAGGCTAGTGGTCTAGCAGCCATTCAGAATCATTCAGGTTCACTCACGATCGTGTTTACCGCCCACTCTTGATCGTGTTTAGCGCCCACTCACAATCACATTTACCGCCCATTTACAATAGCGTTTACAGCCCATTCATGATCCATCATGTTTATGGCCCATGCAGGTTCGAACTCAAGTGCCCATTCAAGTTTGTGGTTAACGATCACACAATTTCATGATTTAATGATCAGTCAAGTTTGCAGGCTAGCAAGGATTTGAGTTGTGTTAGAAACATGGGCAATTTAACTTATCCAATGCAGGAAGAAGCTTCCTTGAAAGGTGGAGTTAGCAGTGAAGAATACTCAGACTCAGGCAGTCAGGCAGGGCCTCTGGCGAGGATATTGATGAACTCGTGCAGAAACTAAAGACCACTTCAATGCAATCAAACAGTTTGTCTGGCAGCTGCCTCCCCCTCTGGGAGAACTTCCACTCACTCCAACTCTGCCACCTTGGCAATGCCAGGAGCAAAAGGGAGATTGTGTAAGTGCCCCCTCGCCTCAGGGTGCAAGTTCATGGCGCAATTTTGCCAAGGCAGGGAAAGTGTTTCCAGTTACAAAGGATAGAGCACAAAATCCCCCAGTGCGCTCCTGGGTCTCACTTGATTTCAAGTTAATTAAAGATTTGAAGACCGCTGTTGATTCCTATGGTATTCATGCCCCCTTCACCCTCTCAGTGCTGGTACAGATAGCAGGGTCGGCATTGACCCCTGATGATTGGAAAAATTTAGCTAAAGCCACCCTCTCCCCTGGACAATATTTGGTCTGACGGTCAGCCTGCCGCGAGTTAGCACTAGACACTGCACGCCGTATTGCCCTAGCAGGCAATCCTGCATGGGACATAGATGTACTCCTTGGGGAAGGTGCTTAAGCAGGACAAAAAAACCAAATAGATTATCCCAAGCCTGTTTATGCCCATATAGCCACCATAGGGCATAATGCTTGGAGGGCCCTTCATAGCAAAGGCGATCTGCGCTTTTCTATATGTAAAGTGACCCAAGGGCCTAATGAGCCCTATGCGGACTTTGTGAGCCGCCTCATGGAGGTTGCATCAAAATTGTTTCCTGATGTAGAACAAGCTATGCCATTAGTGAAGCAATTGGCCTATGAAAATGCTAATAAATAGTGCCATGAAGCCATACACCCTTGAAAGCATAAGGACTTGGATACATGGATTAAAATCTGTAGAGATGTGCATGATCAAGTTACAGCTGGAGTTATACAGGCAAGGGAATAGGCTAAAGTGATAATGAATGCTATGAAACAGGAGAAGGGGTTTAAAGGGCTTGATCAGATATGCTTCAGATGCGGTAAACCGGGGCACTTTAAAAGACACTGCCGCCAAAGAGAGCCCACTCATCCTCCTCCTCATCCTTGGCTATGCCTGAGATGTAGGAAGGGGAATCACTTTCAGCCAAAAAACGGGCAGAGGGGCCTAGTATTCCAGAGCCCCCACAGAGCATACGGGGTGCACCAGGAGCAGACAGAACAGGCAACCAAGCAATATGCGGAGCCACGCATGCAAGCACAGGATTGGACCTCTGTGCCACCTCCCAAATGGTATTAACCCCTGAGATGGGCCCACAGGCACTTGGTACTGATTTTCACAGACCACTTCCTAATGGCACAGTGAATTTGGTGTTTGGACGGAGTTACAAGACCATGCAGGGCCTGATTGTTCACCTAGGAGTAATTGATTCACATTATACTGGCATTGTCAAAGTTATGGTTTCTTTGCCAAAGGGAATAACTTATAATTCCAGGAGAGCATATTACCCAACTGTTAGTCCTTCCTAGCTGTCTTGTGAGTTGGCGGAGTCGCCACGCCACCCATGGGGACAAAGGCTTTGGATCCTCTGGAGACGCCTTAGTTAATCTATCTGTCTCCCTCAAGGACCGACCATTGGCCACCCTTATGCTACGTGGCACCCCATTCGAAGGCCTTTTGGACACTGGGGCCGATGTAGGCATTATTAGGCAATCAGATTAGCCAAAAAAATGGCCCCTAAAGCAATCTAATCAAACCATACGAGGCTTAGAAGTGGCTTGCCAACCACAACATAGTGCATGTGTTATTTCCTGGGTGGACCACGAAGGTCACAAAGTGTCCTTTCAGCCTTATGTTTGTGCCATCCCTGTGACCCTATGGGGCGGGGAAGCCTTAAGTGTTATGGGACTTTGTCTGAGCAATGAGTACTACCAAACAGGAAGCCAACAAGCTTGGAATATCATCGAGAATCTGGGTTATTCAGGAAAGGGTCTAGGTAAAGTAGAACAAGGAAGAATAGAACCATTTGTGGTTAGACAACACCCAGGAAAGGAAGGGTTGGGTTTTTAGCTGGGGCCACTGCGAAACAACAGCCATTGAAGATTACGTGGATATCGAATGAGCCCATATGGGTGTCTCAGTGGCCCCTAACCTCTGAAAAGTTAATGGCTGCCCAGGAGTTAGTGTTAGAACAATTATCATTGGGACGTATAATGCCTTCAGTATCTCCATGGAACACACCTATCTTTGTTATTAAAAAGAAATCGGAATTGACGGCTTTTGCATGATCTTCCACTATAAATGTCACTATGCAAACTATGCGTGCAGTACAACCTGGAGTGCCTTTAACCATTGTAGTGCCTAGAGAATGGTATCTAATTGTGATTGATATTAAGGATTGCTTTTTTTCTATACCTCTACATTCACAAGATTCAGAGTGTTTTGCCTTTACTTTGCCTTCTATTAATCATCAAGGCCCAGATCAGAGATACCAATGGGTTGCACTCCCACAAGGTATGATGAATAGTCCTACTATGTGTCAACTATATGTAGCTCAAGCACTGTGCCCTGTAAGATGAAAGTTTTCATGGCTTTGCATATATCATATATGGATGACATTCTTGTGGCAGGAAAGCAGAAAGAAGAAGTGCAGGCCGCCTTAGTGTGCTTGAAGCAAGAACTGGCATGGTGGAAATTGCACTTTGCCCCTGAGAAGATTCAAGAGGGCCCCAATGTAAACTATCTGGGACTACAGATGACAGTCCGTCAGGTTGCCCCATTACAGGTTAAAATCAGAATGGATGGTTTAAAGACCCTTAAAGATTTCAAGCAGTTATTGGGGCATATTAATTGGATCCGACCATATCTTCGTATTACCACCAAAGATTTAGAGCCCCCATTTTCTATACTTCATGGAAACCCCGCATTAGATTCACCCCAAGAGCTTACTTTGGAGAGACGCAAGACTCTTGAATTAGTCCAGCATAGACTCCAAGAAGCTCAGGTTGAGCGTTGTGATCCTTCACAACCATTGTCTGTTCTGATTATACCTGAAAGTATTCCTGCTATGCTGCTATGGCGGGGGGGGGGGGGCTTTAGTCTGGATGTATTTACTCATGCAACCTTCCAAATTGCTTACCACCTTCCCTGAACATATGGGCCAAGTGATTTTTAAAGCAGTGGAGAGAGCCCAAGAAACCTTTGGTGTTTATCCTCACTTATGTATTACCCCTTATTCTAGAGAAATAGTTGCCAGTCTATGCCAAACGGTAGATATTTGGGCCATTTTGCTATCCTGCTTTTCTTTGCAATTTGATAGGCATTATCCATCCCATCCATGAGTGCAGTTTTGGAAAGAAGTCCTATTGTGCTTTCCCAAGTTGGTTAAGGAGTGGCACATTAGAGGAGCGCGGCTTTCTTTTACAGATGGGACTAAAGGTGGTACAGGGGCAGTTGTCTTGGATACCCAAATTTTCACAATTTTAGTTGCTTCCTCTTCTCCACAAACTGCAGAATTGGCCGCCGTTGCTTTGGCCTTGTTTTGCAGCCTGGGGTGTCCACGGTGTTACAAGACTGATAATGGACCTGCCTATACAGCCAAAGCATTTGATAAATTTTGTTCTGGATTTGCGAATAAACACTCCACTGGCATCCCATATAATCACTCAGGACAGGCTGTGGTAGAGCGTGCCCATGCAACTCTCAAAGCATTATTAATAAAACAAAAAGGGGGAGTAGGAGCCACCCTATATCCCAATAGTCCTAAACATCAATTGGCTTTAGTTACTTATATTTTCAAATTTTTGATTTTGAATTTGGATGGCCATTCTGATGCTGAACGCCACACTGTTGGCTCAGGCTCCTGCAAAGATCGGGTGCTGTGGAAGGATGTTTTAACAAAACAATGGATGTGCCCGTATCCTGTCTTACGACGGACATGAGCAGCGGTTTGTGTTTTTCCGCAGGATTCTGATGGACCAGTGTGGGTGCCAGAAAGTTTGACGTGAGTGATAAGAAAGCCAGAGTAAGATGAACCTGTGGACGTGGTGGATGCTGACCAGCCTGATGTTCATTCAGATACCGAGAGGAGACAGCCAGAATCTCCAGCTAAAACTGCACCATAAAAGGGGTGCAGCAAATATTGTCTCGCTCTCTAGGGCCTTGGAAATGGCCCCCAGAATGGACTGCTATCGAAGTACTGTGACTACTAGAAGAGTAGCACCTGATCTTGCTGTGACCAATCAATTTCCTACCTGTTCAAATTCTGCCTTTGTGGGTTATAACTATACATGTGGTAACCTTGTTCAATCTGTTTCTGCTAAGTCTTGGAATGTCTGGGTACTTTGCACTAGTAGGGGTGGGTGTTCAGATATATCAGCTTTTGCATTTATTGATAAGGTAGTGATAAGAAATTGTAAGTATAATAGTAATAGTTCTAGAATATGGGAAGAAAATGTTAAAGTTAATTGCAGTTGTGATGTTATCTATAATGCTATTTATGTATATGCACAAGCTCCATTTATGTTGATTTTTTCCATGAGTGCTAATGTTACCCTTTTGAATTGCTCTGTAGTTAAGTGAGGCCTTAACCAATGTTGGAATGGCTCTGGCACTGCAGTGCTGGTATGCATTCCACACTTATTTCCATCATATGTGGACCTCCTGTGTGCTTAGTCTACCTGGAATGTGTGTCACTCCCTCCATTGTCACCAAAGGTTTCTGAGCATTGAATTTGTCCAGAGAGTTATCCACTATGCTATCCCTTAGTGGAAGCTAGACCATACGATTTGATAATTTGACATAGGAACTAAGATCCCAAATTATAGCCATAAATAGCAGCAAAGTAGAGATTGCTACGGTAGAGAAATGGACAAATTGGATACTAAAGGATCTTTCCTTTGCACACCAATGTGCCGGTATAGTAGCCTTGGGTCTTATCTTACTAATTGTCATTCTTTGGGGTCTGTGGATGCTTCATCCTTGAGCACAGTGTCAGCAGCAGTAACAGCAGCTGCTAGTGCAAGCTGTGCTTGCCCTTCACAACAGAGAATCTCCAGAAGTCTGGCTAGGCATACTGGACCCATAGCCAGAGACGGGTAAGTATCCGATAGGGCCTCACCAACCTAAGACAGGTGCCACATTTCTAGCCACATGGTTAGCCAGTGACAGGTTAGGGGAGTCCGAACTTGAAACACCTAAGACAGGCACGGTCCCTTGCTTAATAAAACAAGAAGGGGGAGCTTTAGGGGCACTAACCATTTCCTACCATGTGATTGGCCCTTTGCCCTGATTGGTGTGCCTTGGTTATCTATAAATTGATTGGTCAGGTTTGACAGATAAGTGGGGGGCTTGGGGGGGAGGGGCTGGAGCGTAATGTTCGCAACTGTCATAACGGTCATAACGGAGTTAACGGTCACAACAGAGTTAACGGTCACAACAGAGTTAATGTTCATAATGGAAAATTGGAATAAAGCGCCTTGGAGACTCTCTCAAATGTCAGGTGATTTCTTCTGTGGGATGGGAGGACCCCCGATATTGTCTTATTGTGATTGATATTAAAGATTGCCTTTTTTCTATACCTCTACAGCAACAAGATTCAAAAAAAGAGTGTTTTCTCTCTCTCTCTCTCTCTCTCTCTCTCTCTCTCTCTCTGTGTGTGTGTGTGTGTTATTCAGCATAACTGGCATTTTCCTAATCTAGGTCACTGATTGAACATAGATATTATTCAGAGACCGGCAGGTAATTCATCTTAGGAATTGCAAAGTTTCCCTTTGTCTTTGCAAATGAAATGAAGTTCTTCACACAATGAACAACAACTTCAATATTTTGCCTCTTGTAAACATGACCCACAAATGATACTCACAGAAATTCCCATGAATGACAAAAAGGAATAGCAACGACCAAAGCAAAAGGCAAATGTGGAGAACATCCCACTAAAAGGCTAACAGAAGACTCAATCAAAGCACAACCCAATGCTGAAATGACAGGGCTAAACTGCCACTTACTCACAATAACTCTGAACTTAAATGGCTTAAACTCATCAGTCAAATGCCATAGAGGAGGACCAGGTAAAACCAAAATCCATCAATCTGCTGCTAAGAGGAGACACATCTCAC